TACTAGTTTGCATTCCCACCAGCAGTGCAGGAGAGTTCCTTTTTCTCCACATCCTCGCCAACAATTGTTGTTGCTAGTTTGAAGATGTGCCATTCTCACTGGGGTTACACCTTCTCTTCTTAACTCAAAAGGAAGCCGTAACAATTTGGGCTTGTCAAAGTTGAACCCATATGACATATAAACATAAATCTGTATACCATACATCTTACATTAAATTTTTCAGGCAATAACAATTAGTTTTATTATCTGAATAGTTTGTTTTAGTCTTGAAATTTGTATTTAAAAAAATGTTAATACTGATATATAGAGTCTTAAGTTTCTTAATCATAAGCCTGTATTAGTAAGTTTTGTGATCTGAAAGTCATTTCACTACTTTACTTTACTTTAGATGGAGAAGAAAAAACCTATGGTGGCTGTGAAGGCCCTGATGCCATGTATGTCAAACTAATATCTTCAGATGGCCATGAATTTATTGTAAAAAGAGAACATGCCCTTACCTCAGGAACTATAAAAGCCATGTTGAGTGGCCCGGGTAGGTACATTATATCTTAATATAGTGTTGCTCTTTATGTTTAGTGATTGTCTTTAAGGTGAATAACATTAAAAGAGAAACAGTAACATTATTGTATTGTGTTGTGGGGGGAAATTGGTTTCTGCCATTCCCTATTTTCAGTTATTTACTCTAGCTTCAATAAGAAGGATTGATAAAGGGTCATTTCCTTCCATTAGTTTTCCAGATCAACTTCTTAACCATAAAAGGTCTGATGATTTGTACTTGCTAAATACAAAGTTTATTGATGGAAGCCAAGCAAACTCCTGAATTAGACATTTTATTTGTAAAATCTGTAGTCTTCTTGCACCTATTTTTCAGATTTTCAATTTTACAGAGAAAAATGAGTTTTTATAAGTCTGCATTCAAGTGTGATTTAATCTTTTAGATCATAAATCATAATTAGAATTCTAGTAGATTGAATCTGATTCATGTTTTTAGGCTAGAATACTTTATGGTTGATATTGTATTCCTGTTATATTAGTTCTTTTAGCAGTGTCAGGACTGAGTAGCAGAGTCTAGGGCTGTCAAACTGATGGCATCTATGAACAGTTCCTCAGATTTCATATAATGGTTTTAGCATTCAATCAGTCATTCTTACTGATGCTCAGATTCTTCCATTTTTATGCCAGTAGGAGCCATGTCCTGTTGGCTCCTGTGTCCTTTTGCTATTTATCCCTTAATCCTGAATAGTTATTACTGCTTCCTGTAGTGTAGTAACAAGATTTCTTAGGCTCACTTTGAACATTACTCCACAACCCTGAGAACAACTATTTTCTTTTAGTAAAAAATAAACCCTACTCTGGGTATAGGAGTTTCTCATTGTTTTTGGTTTAAATTGCTTTTCACCCAGGTAGAAAAGTCAAACTTTTCTACTGGACAGAGCTTGGATATACTGTAGGTGGAAAAAGCCATCGATGGCAACATTTTAATTAAAAATTGTTTCTTTTTTTTTTTTTT